ATCAATTGTCATGAAACGTCCATAATCCAACTCATGCAATTTGTTCAGAAGCTCCCAGCATAGGTTTGATTGTAAATGTAATGTATAATCGAAAGAACCGTTCCGATTTTCCGATTTGTCTATAATTCTATTTAACTCAAATCCATCTTCGTTTCCCTGTGATATCTCGGCGAATTTTCCTTCTGCAGTCTTAAGTGTAAATAAAAACATAACATTCATTTTAATCTTGTCATTCTCTTCAAGTGTCGTACGAACCTTTGATAATGTATCCTTAAGATTCAAATTGACTAATGCAGGTTGTTCAGAATCAGGGTAATGGACTATCACTTCTTTAACATTATCCTCTTTATCACTATCCTTGTCATCATCTTCCTTCTCTTTTTCCTTTTTCTTTTCATTGTCATCAGTTTCTTTTATAGGAAAATTGAATCCAAACATTTTCAACTCCGTTCGTGATGAAACAACTTTTTTTCAGAATACAATAAAAAAAGTTCACGATTTTCCTCCTATTTTATAAACATTTTCCGTAACACAAATTCGCAAATGAAAAAACCAAAATAATTTTGACCCGAAGGTCTGCCGATCCCCGGAGATACGAAAAAAGGTCCGACATATTGACTTTTTGTTTAGGAGAATCAGCTGACACTTGTTTTCGGCTAATAAATGTAGATCGTTCCAATTATGTTAAAAAAATTTTCTCAATCTCTTTTCATTCTCAAAACAATTTTTTTTTATAAAAAAAAAAAAAAAAAAAAAAAAAATGTCCGCATCTAATGCGGCAACAACGGAGCAACAAATAATTCAACAACTCAAGTTGAATTATGGTTTATTCTTGGATGGACGTAGCATAAGATCAAGTAACGAAGCTATTTTTGTTGATGGCGATTTAAAAATAAAATTTTTTAGAGGGGAGCCTATTGTTTACACTAATGTAAACGATCCAAAGTCACTTACAAATTTGCTCTCATTCAACAACGAAATCAACCTTTCACATTTACAACATTTCGACGTTTGTCTTAATTTTCCAATTGCTGAATTCTCTTATAAAGGTGAATTGTTGAAAACGTTTTCAAAATGTACAAATGGTGACGACGAACAAGCATATGGACATTTCTTTGCAAGGAAAGTTTTGGTTGGCGGTAAATTATTTATCAAGAATTTAAATACGGCAAGTCCAATACAAATTGATCTAGTACGGTCACTCTTATCATTGATATATAACTCTGCTAAATATAAATTAGAAAATCCGTTAAACGATGTATCTGAATGGGATTATTTTCCAGAGATAGAAACTTCAAATGGACTAGAGATAAAAACTCTGAAAGATTTGACAATTTGGATGCATAACCTATTTCAAAAGAATATGTTTGATATAGTTTCTTATAATGATATCGTTCCCGTTTCTCAACTAAGACAATCAATTGATGTCTCGGAAACTTCCAAGGAAATACAACCCGGAGTTTATAATTATGAGAGCAAATCAGGCTTTAAAGAGTGGGTCGGTGATGCAGTGTACGTTAATTTAACGAGATGGGTTAAAGATTTTCACCTACGTCAAGGTTTAATATTTAACAAGCACTTTGAAATCGATATTAGCAAGGAATTCGCCGTTAATTTCAACAAGATGCCTGAAATTAAGCCGCTTGATAATTGTCATATGAAAATGATAAAACCGGCAACAAATTTAGAAGAATTTTTGATAACAAATAATATTTCCTCGGATACAGATATGAATTCCTCTCCATTTATTAACAAATATACTAAAGCTGATAATTTTAACAACAAAGATTATATTCATTTGGTAGTCAAGTATGAACGATATGAAATTATTGTACCCATGGCTTGCATTATTCCCTCAGAAAACCTTAATCAATATATAGAAAAGTCACTTAATAGCATGGAGCCATTTAAAGCCTTACAAGATACATTTGACAAATTTGGACATTTATTTCCACAAAGGATTGTCTTGGGAAGATCACTCAAGAATATTTTACCCGATATTTCTTTTAACAATACTGAAAATGTTGATCTGGGATCATTAACATTTGACAATTTAAACTCACGTTTAAATGTAAATGTTTCATACCTGTTAACGCAAGGTGGTGATATTATCGATACCGATGGCGAATTATCTAGTTGGATTCAAGATATCCATACCAAACTTGAAATTATTGAACTTGATCAAACAATTTCCTTACACAAAATTCTTTGCGCTGAGCGACAGAAAGAGATAGATATTCTATTAAATAAGGAAATTGACAAAATTATAATGACCGGAGTTTCTGATTTGAAAGATTTAGACGGTAACAATACCGAACACTACAAACGTATAAATATAGAACCGATATTGAATGATAAAGATTATAAAGTATTTGGATCAATAGTTTCAGGAGGCAAAAAGATAGATGATTATTTAGTAAAATTTAAATTCTATGACGCCAATGGATTTTCCGCAATGATAAAAACTTCACGAAAATCAAAGATCGATGTTAGAGATTGTTTTATTTTATGGATGATAGTCGGGAATCCTTTGAAATTATCGGTTTTTAGCCCAAATAATCGAGAAATTCAAGTCGAACGCATTAAAAAATCCATTAATTATCAACCAGACAAATCTATGTATGATGTTGAAACTCGTTTTCCTTTATCTCATGGATGTAGTATCCTCGTTAATGCATACCATCCATCAACAACTTTTGATATTAAGCTATTAAAATGGTCAAAGAATTATATCACGTTTCAAATAAATGAATCAATGTATAATAATAATCAAATTTTGAAAAGTTCAAATTCAAATATAATTTCCGATAGTGACTCTGACTCTCAACATGAGGAAGATAACGACACAACCGTCGATATAGATTTAGATATTTGTATATTACGTTCAGGTTACGGAAGTTTAAAGATTGATCATGTGAAGATAGAATATCCTTTAGAATTATTTGGACATAGTTTACCACTTGATGGTATGTAAAATTATAAATTTATTTTTAACTTTTCTTGAAATATGTTAAATTTTCTATCTTCCTTTATTAATCCCGATTCAGATTCTAGGTCAATTAAGGATCGAATGATGAAATGCATAAACGATATAATTGCACCTTTCATACCTCTCGTAACTACTATAACGAATTTAACAAAAGACATAGCGGATGCATATGAGAATGTTCAATATAACAAAAAAACTTGCGGGGCATTAGTCACGAGAGTTGAGGCTGTAGAAGTTACAATTAGAGGGTTGATAAGACAAAGGGAGGATAACTTGTATAAGTTTTGTAATCAGAATTATTATAATGCCTTTTCTAAATTGACAAATTGCCTAAAACAAATTAAAGAATTTTCTAGTGATATTTCCCAATTATCGAAATTTAAAAAATTTGTCTCAAGTGAGAACATTAAAGAAACTTTTGAGAAGATTATAAAAGACTTTGATAATTATTCGATTCATTTAAATTTGGCTCGATCTATTACAAATGAACAATTGATTTCAATTTTAAGTTCTGATATTATCGAAATGAAGAAATTTCTAGACAATATTGAAGGTGGTATTACATATATGATGAATCATACCACCGTTTTACATGTTCAAAATAATAAAAAGATCGCCGTTAAAGTTAATAATATTGAAGAACAGAATGACAAAATTATTAAACAAAATAACGAACTCCTAGAATACAAGGCGGGCAAGGACAAACGTAAACTTAATTTTACTCCGCTTAACGGGGAAATTGATAATATTCGTTATCTGAATGAACCCACCAATAAAAGTTCAAAATTTGAAACTGAATCTAATATTATTGGACAAATTGAAGCTTCGAAATTGAAGGATGCTGCGGAACCCAATAGACGCAAAGGTAGTAAGGTAACGGTTTTGAAAAAAATTTATGAACAAAAAGAAGTTGCTTGTAAACACTTTTATACGGAAAAGATTAACCAAAGGCATCTCGCTATTTTGAGAAAATTGAAAGCTAGTCCATACATTATTCAATTTTATGGACTATCAAAATTAGATATAGGTGATGTAATGGTTTTTGAATGGGCCGAATACGGAACTCTACGTGAATTGTATCAGAAATATACTATTGAATGGGATGCAAAGATTTCTTTCGCAAGAGATATCTGTCGTGGATTGATTTTTTTGCATACAGGTATGATTCTCTCTTTCTTTGTGAATGTAGTGTCATTATTAAAAAGTTGACGTAAAATTTGTCTTTTCTTGGTAGTGGAGATTTTGCATCATGATATTAGGTGTGAGAACGTGTTAATTACCGAAAAAATGCAACCCAAACTATGCAATTTCAAATTCTCTCGTGAATTTAATGCTACCACCAGTCCAATTGATGATATGAAAGATATTATACATTGGTTGGCTCCTGAAAAATTAGAACATATATCTCCGGATAAAGATTCGAAAGCGAATAAAGCTTGTAGTTATACCATTCAATGTGATATTTTCAGGTCAGTGGATTTAATTTTTTTTTAATTTTTTTTTTTTTTAAAAAAAGAAAATAAGAATTTCTTCTCTATTACTTTTTTTCATTTTACATAATTATTTTTTTTTTTTTTTTAGCTTTGTGATGCTTCTTTGGGAACTTGGCTTTCAGAAAAAGCCATATGAAAACATGAGCATATCTGAAATACAAAAGCATGTTCAAAAAGGTGATCGAGAAACTATATCGTGTCTTGATCCAATTCAAACAGAGTATTATGAAATTATTCAACTTGGTTGGGTACAAGAACCATCATTACGTCCAGGAATTCAACAAATTTTCAATATGCTACAAAGATTATATGAAAAACATGTCTTAAAGAGTTCTGATGAGGATATACCAAATTTCTCAATTTCGGATCATAATTCTATTATACCATTAACTCCATTCACTCCATTCAAAGAAGGTTTGTTGGCTCATAAAAGACAAAAATATGATACGGCTTGGAAATGTTTTGAAGAGCATGCAAATGTTGGGGATATGTCGGCGAAATACTGGCAAGGTTATTATTATTTAGAAGGAAGATACGTTGAAAAAAATTTCGCAAAGGCCAAAGAATTATTTAGAGAATCGGCGGATGGTGGAAATGCTGACGCTCAATTACGTTACGCTTTTTGTTTGATTGATAAGGAAAACAATGAACAGGTTGATCATGATACCTTTTTAAAATATTTGAAAATGTCGGCTGATAATGAAAATTCTACTGCTCTTTATAATCTTGGTGAATTATATTTAAATGGTAGGATGGGTTTTGAAAAGGATCAGCAAAAGGGCATTCAATATTTAAAATTGGCTGCTTTCAAAGGACAATCAAAAGCAAAAGAGATTTTGAAACAATATGATAGTTAAATCACCTTATAAATTGTATTTTTATATATTAAATAGATTTTATTTTTACCTTATAAATGAATAATAATAAATATGATCGAAATTAAATTTCGATTTTCGGGCAGAAAACAATAAAAAACACATTCCTTACGCATAACATCAAAGCTGGCTCGCGTCACGTGTTTTCCAAGCTCTTGCACATTTTTTTTTTTAATTGATCTAAAAAAAAAAAAAAAAAATTAAAAAAAGGCAACTTTTATTGAATGAATAATCGTAAAATACCTAAAGGAAAAAGAGAATAATAATGGCTTATTTGTTTTTATTTTAAATTTTTAATAAATAAACTTACCAAAGGATCCCTAAGAAAAAGGTATATTTTTTAATTTATTTTTTTAAGAAAAAAAACATCACCATTTGAAATCAAGGAACCATCACTTCCGGAGCATGTTATTAAATAATTGTTGCTACCCCTATGACTGAAAGTGATCCATCAATCCTTAGCGGTGAAGGTAATCCTAAGCGGTCTAGTAATCCCAATACCAGGGTAATGATAGAAGGTGTGTGCTTCAGTGGTGGCATTTTGGCCGCGGTCAAGGCCAAATGAACAAATCAGCAAAATCGGCCAAAGCAGAAATAATAATCATTAATAGGGCAAATTTTCAGTTGGCATTTGGCCGCGGCCAAGAATTTTTGGCCATTTGGCCATGGTCGACGGCCATTCCTCCGGCAAAATGACTAAAATGACAACACTGATTTAAATATAACGTCACTCGGCTTTATCATCGAGAATTATAGCAGGAGTATATAACATGAATTGATATCCTAATATACCGTGGTTCCACTTACATCATGAAGCAGCCTAACTGATTTCTTTGTTCATGTTAACGGTTTGGTTTCAGGCAGTCATCCAGACCGTAGATCGAGCTAATCATTTATGAATCGGTTGTAACTGAAATTTAAACCGAAAAATTTATTAATTATTATTCATAAAAATTTATTTTATAAAATCCAAGATTATTAGTTATATTACCGTAATGTTCTTTCTCATCATGAACTCTGATAAAAAATTACCACACATCTGAAATACGAGTTTTTAAATTTGTGAGAGTTTCCTCCAAAGAATCAGAGGTAACGTCTAAATTAATAAATTCGTAGTTGTAGTCAAACAACGATGTAAATTAAAAAAAAAAATTCTTATTACAGTTAGACGCGTAAAAAACGCGTGAAAAATCATTTAATAATCTATTTAACGGCCTTATAATCAAGATCGGTCCGAACCGTCTTACGTTAGATCGTTAACGTCTCTACCTCCCTGTCACTTTTATTTGAAAGGCTCGATAGATTTATTTTTTTTTTAGATTTAAAAAGTAATAATAATGAACAAACGTTTTTATTCAACTTTAGAAGATATCCAACTAATCACGAGTATACCACCAACAAAAAACGTAAAAATCATGCGTCATATAGCATCACAATATGAAAATAAATACATTCGACCCCCTATATAGTCACCCCCTATCTAGTCACCTACTATCTAGTCACTCCTCCCTTATAAGCACATTTTGTTATGCCAAAGTTTAATAATAAACTTATTAAAATTCTATAGTCACATTATATAACTTTTTTATAATCACACCAAATTTTTTTTGTCCTGAGGGGCGTGACTATAAAGGGGTCGACTGTACTTCAAAGTTGAAAGACATCAGATTCTCCCACTAATAAAGAAATTGAACAAATATTAATGATTTTAAATAACATTGGAATGGAAAAATGTAAATTCATAATTATATCATATCATAAATCAAAGGAAAATTCAAAAATAAAAAGATCAAAAGCCTTCCGTTAAAACTTCTTTTGAACTTTTCATGAAACCTGTCTGAATACTTGGTTTGTAATCCAAGAAATTCTTCTTCGCTTTGTAATGATTATGTTTTTGTCCGTACTTTTAAAAGATCTTAAAAAAACCCACGAAGTTTGTGTATATAATGTCGTAATTCTGTGATTGTTACGCAAACTTCAGTTTAATATGAAATCGAAATTTTTAATGTGTTCTTTCCTTAATATTTTGAAAATGACGAGTTCATCATCGGAAAAATCCAATATTTTAAGTTTATTGACTTAAGACAAAATGTACAATGCTTTCATAATTTAGGCGGCATAAAGATTTTTGTTCATCGCTAAACGCTGGGCTTGAATAATAAATATAAACTTTCAAAGTTCAAAGTAAACAATATTAAATGGACAAATTTGATACATTTATTTGTAATAAATGATTATATACATATGTACATATATAATACAGGTTTTACATGAAAATATTTAATCCTCAATCTCATCACTAATAATTAACGTAATTTGATTAATTAAATTAATCTTGTAAAATAATAAAAAAGGAAAGGAATAAACATACCTATCGTACGGATCAAAGAAATTACATTCAATTTGTTCTTGTGAAATACAATCAACGTCCTTCATCTCAATTCGATTAGATTTATGTTGAAGAAAAATTGGACCACAATTATATTCGCTGGTGGAAAATAAACTAATATATTTTGGTTTTATAAAATTATCAAGTTTGATATATGGTTTTTGCTCAAAATGAAGTGTACCGTAATTCTTGGGGTGATGATTTAAAATTGCAAGTGTATAAAAATTGAATTTTGGTAAACAATCGAAATGTTTCTTATCCAAGCAGTAAGAAAATGTGAACGTTCCAATTCGATCTCCTTCCTGATCATCGAAAAAATGATGTCCAATGACGAGAGACCTATTAGAAGAATCCAATCTGTCTATTACAGGAATTCCGATACAAGGAATTTTTTTGTTTAATGAATCATCATCATGTTCCAAATTTAAATATTCCTTATAATACATGGCTTGTGCGTTGTCATTAAAATCCGTTTCAATGATTTTCAATTGAACATCAAAATCGGTAAGGATCAAATTTAAATCTTTATAATAACCAATAACCATCCATCCGATCTTTAATTTGCATTTACGCTTTTTAACCCCCTTTTGAATACAATGAATAATAAGTCTTGGATCTGCACCCGGCGAATGAAGGACCTGACAGTTAAAAAAATCATCATTTGAATTATAAAAATCACTACCTTTATCAACGACCGTTGCAAAGATGTTGCAATCAGTTTCCTTGTCTTGAATCATCTCTGAAATAAATTCCGGCATATTTAATTCAATGATTTTGGGATATCCAATTTCTTCGAGTTGAAAATCTCGGTCCTCAATGATTGAATAAAGAATTCTTTTCCCTAAAAATGAAATGATTTGTTTACGCAAATTATCAGGTAAAAGTTGAAAAATTCCAATCGGATTTTGAAATTCTATGCAATCCCAATTTCTAAAATCTTTTAAAGATTTAATCCAATCTTTTTCATTAAAGTCTTTAAGGCTGACGGGTTGTTTTCCTCCAATCAATTTAAAACATTCAGATCGACATGATTCTCTATAATAAGCTCTTCCACCCAAGATGATTTTAGTTGGAACGAATTGACCAAATTTCTCAGTAATATGTTTAAATTTCATAGCTTCTTTAGAATTTATAGCATCTTCCACCGCTTTAATGAACTCTGAAGTTGGTTCTAAACGATCACAAAGTTCTAAGGATACCTTACCAAACTCTGTAAAACGATAGGAATGATTTTGTTCATTTTTTGATCTTTCATCAGATGTTTCCAAATTTATGAAATCATGTACATAATTATCGCTACTAAAAAATAAATTTTCAATCATGACACGTTCTTCAACTGATTGAATTACAACTTTTCGATGATCACATCCTATAGCTCCAATTTTAATCATTTCACAATCCTTCATTACAAAAGCTCTCTCATCAGCGATCTTAATTCCATCAAAAGTCGTGGTTCGACCAAAATCTAATTTACACAAATCATTTAAATCTTTCCAATCATAAGTCGAACTTTTTATTAAATATAAAGAAATAATTTGATTATCAACCATTTCAATAATCTCACTTAACCTAACATTACCCTCCTCCTCACGACTGATTTCGACAGATTCAGTTAATTCAGTTTCCTTAACATCGAATTTTCGTGAAAATGAAAACGGATTCTTCTTAAAAAAGCTATTATTCTCTTGTAGTGTAATGCGAATTTTTGATAATTCATCATTAATATTCAAATTGAAATTGATCGATGTGGAGGATTCGGAGAGAGCGTAATTTACTATGATATCTCTAAAATCATTCTCCTTAAAGAAATAATCAAATTTATATTCAAACATTTTTAAGGAAAGAATATATAAATGGATCGTCGTTTTTATTCCTTTATTTTATAAAAAAAAAAAAATGATAGGTGACACGTTCGTTGATATTCAACCAATCATACATCACGTCGATGACAAATAAGTCGTGACCGGTAGGTTTTGCATAATAAAAAAAAAAAGTGTGAAAGAGGGGAGGGAACGACATGAGTCACGTGAACGTCAAACATTGTTCTTGTTTTGGAGAAAGTGTGACCCATATGATTCACCACATGACCGTCTTTGATTCTTATTTGGGAATCCCATATAAAGATCTCTCGCACAAAGACATTTTTTTTTCAAATAATTCTTTCTCAATCAAAATGCCTCAACAATCACCGTTTACTGCGGAAATTGCTGCGGCAGGTCGAACAATGGAGCAACAAATGGTTCAAAAGCTCAAGTTGAATCGTGGTTTATACTCGGATGGGCATAGCATACAACCAAGCAACGAAGCTATTTTTACCGATGATGGCGGATTGGACATCATCTTATATAAAGGGGAACCAATAGTTTACACGAATATAAACGATCCCAAATCACCCACAAATTTGTTCGCATTCAACAATGATGATGATGGAGTTAAATCACGTTTACAACATTTCGATGCTTGTATTAATTTTCCAATCGCTGAATTCTCTTATAGAGGTGAATTGTTGAAAAATTTTTCGAAATTTTCGAATGAAGACGACGAACAATCATTTGGCCACGCATTCGCAAGGAAAGTTTTGGTCGGTGGTAAATTATTTATCAAGAACTTTAATTTAGCTAGCACAAAACAAATAGATACCTTACAATCCCATTTAACTGGAACATATCATTCGGTCAAACATAATAAAGAAAATCCATTTAGTTATATCGAATGGCGTAATTTACCGAAGGTAGTAACGTCAAATGGGCAAGTGATCAAAACCCAGCGAAATTTAGTCACATGGATGAGTAATCTGTATCATAAGAATATGTTTGATATCATTTCTTATAACGATATCATTCCCGTTCAAAAATTAAGATCTAATAAATTTTCAGCAGATGACGTTAAAATTCCTAAAGAAATACAACCCGGGGTTGCTAATTTTGGGGAAAAATTAAGTTTTAAGAGGTGGGCGGAGCACGCCTATTTATTTCTTCAACTTCAAGGGTTAACATTTAATAAGGTTTATAAGAATTATGAAGCGGATATTAGCAAGAAGGTTGCCTTTAAGTTCATCGATATTCCTGTAATAAATTCAATTAAAAAATCTTATTTGAAACTTTTAAAGCCGTCAACGAATTTAGAACAATTTTTCATATCTAATAATATTAACGTTCCGGCTAAAGGTGCAAGATCTTTTCCGTTCATTAAAAAATATTTGTTCGATAATCTTGGTAACAAGGACAATGTTCGTTTGGTAGTAAAATGTGAACGATATGAAATTCTCATAAATAAGGCTCATATCAAGCTCGCAAAGGGATTTGAAGAATCTATAGATAAAGCAATTAATAGCATAGAACCATATAATTCTTTACAAGATACCTTTGATGAATTTGGGCATTTATTTCCACAGAGAATCGTCTTGGGAAGATCGTTTCATAGCACTTTACCAGATCTTTCATCTGATACGTTTGATGAGATTAGTTTGGATTCCGAATCCTTAAAGACGCAATTAGATCATTTAAACGTGTCATATCTTTTAACGCAAGATGGAGACGTTATCGATGTTGATGATGACGTTGAATTATTTAATCGGATTCAAGATACGAAATCCGATTTAGAAATCATTGAATATGATCAGATCATCCCAATGTATGATCTCCTTAGGGTTAAGTCCAAACATTTTAATGAATTAGATGAATTATTAAGTATGCAAAATGAACTTAAAATCTTAATGACAGGAATCACCGACCTGAAAGATTTAAGTGATGATAATACTGAACATTTTAAACGTGTAAATATCGAACCATCTCTGAAAGGTAGAAATTATGAAGTTTATGGTTCGATTATTTCGGGAGATGAGAAATTGGAAGATTGTTGTATTAATTTTGAGATGCGTGATTTTAATGGTTTTTCCGCAATTATAAAAACTTCCCATCTTACTTATATTAGTATATCAGAATGTCGTATGTTATGGATGATTGTCGGAATTCCTTCGGAAATGTCGGTTTTTAGTCCAAATAATCGAGATTTTAAAGTGGATTTCATTAAATCCCCAATTATCATCAAACCAGAAAGATCTTTTTATTGTAAGATCAACACTAAACATGAATTGAGAGAAGGGGATAAGATTTTTATCAATTCGGATCATTCAACAACAAACTATGGTCCTAATAATATGTTTCAGTTGGTCGGTTGGGAACGTCACGCTTTCGATGTTCAGGTCACGAATTTCACTTATGATAGATCAAGATTTTTTAAACTTGATTTAATTATATGTATCATATATTATCATGGTAGGTTATTAAGTATCGATAATAACGAGGAGAGATTTTCTTTAAAGTCAATCGGGTATACTACGACCAGAGAAAACTGCAACCCTGATATTGAGGTGAAGAAAAAGGTTCCTCTTGCGGACAAAGGTTTCGAGGATTTTCAAATGATTGCTTCAATAGGTAATTTGTTTAAACTTTTTTTTTTTTTTTGGTCTTCCTAATAACGCCAACTGTGAAAATGAATTTATCATTAACCTATAACCTGCTAATGGAAAAGATATTGGAACCACGTACTCGGGATTTGGATACACAAGTAGGACAAATAGGGAGATCATCATAAATGAAATTTGGTCGGATCGAAGCAAATCACCAAAGACCGATACCATGTCACTTCATAATGTTTGTAATTATGATTTTGCTTCTGCGGAGTATTCCAAATGTGATAATATTGCAGATATATGGAGTTGTTTTTATAAATTATTTGGATTAGGTATGCCTACGATTATAATATTTGTGCAATTTCTAATATCAATAAACGTGAAATAATTTTTTTTTCTTGTAGTCGGGTCAACCTTAAATTCAGACATGGACATTAAAATCATGTTTTCGGTTCCTTCAAAATGTTCTTATCGAACAAAGGATGTTATACTTAACATGTCTTTAGAAGAAAGAACAATTCAAACAATTTCAGAAAGTAGGGTAAAACAAAAATATATATATGCGTGTATATATATCATTGTGATTATTACCGATGCTTTATTCATATCAAACCGTTAATTGTAAATAGGTGAAGCAGCGGCTATATATTGTATGAACAAGATAAGAGAAGAAAACTTATCGGTTAAACCAATGTGTCAGTATATGTTACGTAACGTATTATGCAATAGATGTATTAATTCATGTTAATATTTTTAATTTTACTTATTCAATTTATCTAGCACAATTTTTGGTTGTTAATTGTGGAGGTGTTTCAGTGGAGTTAACTCTGAGACAACTTTTACCAGACAACAAATTGGCAGAAAAATCCTTGGGTTCCAGTGGAAATTGTGGATCAATCTACGTGGATAGAAAATTACTCGTATACGTCTCAAAAAAAATTGGTCTGGATGCTTTGGATCTACTTCAAACCAAACATCATGAACAATTACGATCATTGATTCGGCGATGTCAAGAAATAAAACATTCATTTACTGGAAACAAGGATGATGATAATATTTTTGAAATTAACCTTGAAAAGATTTGTCCTGACATCAAAAAATACGCTGTTGGAACATGTAAGGATGAATTGGAAAAGAATAATTGGATTATAAAATTCCGTTATGATAACGTCAAAAAAATTTTTGATCCCATCATTAAACAAATCATTCTACTAATTCATGAACAACTAACTTTTAGTGATAATTGTTCTACAATCTTTTTGGTAGGAGGTTTTAGTGAATCGATATATTTACAAAATTGTATTAAACAAGAATTTAAGTATTTAGTTTCAAACGTTTTTGTGCCAAATCAACCGATTACTGCGGTACTAAGAGGAGCGCTTGAGTACGCATTAAATCCCAATTCAATTGCTACAAGAATCATCAACATGACTTATGGTATTAAGCAAGATGGAATGTTTAAGAGGATAGTCAAAATAGGTACCGAAGCACATGAGAATCAAGAATTTGAATTGGAACTATCGCTAATTCAGGAAAATCGGTTAAGATTTCCAATTGATCTATACACTACATCTCTAAGGAATCCTAAATTTTGCGAGGATGATGGTGTTGATTTGATCGCGAATATTAAAATAAGTGCTCCAAAATCTTGGTACGACAAGTTATACCTAGTGTTGATATTTGATCAAAGTGAAATTCGCGTTTACGTAAAAAATCAATATGGAAGGTATATAACAGCTGGTTTGGAATATTTGAACCATTAAATTATATTACTCAAGTGTATTTATTTCTATACGTTGAATTTTTCAAAGTATTTCTCATTGTAATAAAATCCCACCTTATTTAAAGACTGAAATGAATATTGCAATTTTACCGAAGATTTCTAATATAATTAACAATATAATGAAATTCAAAAATCTTTTCATTGGTTCATTCTTATTACATTAATAAATGGTCTTTGAAGGTTCCTAAATAAATGAAACGGTGTGTTGTCATGTGATGATGGAGAGATGTTTAACGCAAATCTCTTCACGTCATGCAAACTTTGCTAATTAAGAATGTGATTTTTTTTTGTAAATAATTAATTGTATCTCATCTGCATATTCTAATAATAAAATCTTTACTTATGACCATAAAGAATTCCTTACAAATATTATCTATATATGATTGTTTCATTGTTAATTATTGCTTATAACAAAACTTTGATCTGATGATCCGCGACCGTTATAAATAGAAAGCAATGTTAAGATTGTTAGCGTTCCTGTTTCCAAATTATGATGCTTAGCGTTTAAATCATCATTAACTCCACTTCCGCTCGATTATGCAATTGCAACATCGTTATTATCTAATTCAGAATAGAAATAAATTTTTCCGGAAAATCTCTTTTCTATTTGGAGATGAGTTGTTGGTGGTGCATATTAGGCGAAGCAATTTTTTTACAATATTCTGATATTATTAATTTCTTTTCCTTGCAAAATAGATGCTCTTCCCTATCAAAGTTTTTACTTAGCTGGATGCATTGAAAGTGATTATTTAAACATTATTAGTTCAAGTTTAAATATTGTCTGGTGGTAAAATTATAGAACGAATCCCATTTCACATTTTTTTTTGGTAGTTTTTTACTACAAAGCACTATATCATATTTATTATTTATTTTTAATTTTAAACTTTATTACAATTAGTAAAATATTCTATATATAATAATATTTTAATAATAAAATATTTTAATATGTAAAAAAAATAAGTTTCTATACTTACAAAATACTTATAAATAAGATATTTTAATTATATTACAGATTTTTATTTAATATCTATTAAAATTATATTTAATTATCTTAATTTTTTATTATTAAGTTAAAGAATAATTTTTATTTAATAGCTAAGTTATATAAATGCATTATTTTTTTAAAATAATATATTAAAATCATTTAAGATAAAGTTATATAATATACATATAAAAAAATTGCTAAAAAATCAGATTTTAAAAATTTTTTAACTAAAACAAGACCTTATCACATTTTTATCAAATATTTTAAAAAATTAATATACAACAAAAATTAAAATTTTGTTAAAAAACTGATTTTTCTAGCAACTTTTTATTATATGTAATTTGTTCTTAATATTGTAATATTTTAAGTATATAATTAAAAATTTTAATATGATCAGAAAAATTAGATATATATTTTTTATTACTTTTTATCTTTTTTCACTGTTTATATTCTTATACTTCTAACTTATTTTTCTTAGTTCATTTAGTAAATTTATATTATTTTACTTATAAAACTTAAAAAATAAATTTATTCCTTCAACTGTTTTACCTACAAATTTGTAGGCAATTTTATTATTAATTACAATCATTTTTAATTATTTTTAAATATTTTAAAATTTATTATTAAAAAATTAATACTATTATAATAAATTTTATAATGTTTTCTATGTAAAAATTAAAAAATAAATGTAATTAACTAGTGATTTTTTAAAATAAATAAATAATAAATTATTATAAAAAAATTAAAATTTTAAACTCATATATCTTGCAATTTATCAATTTCAGAAATATATAAATACTACTATTTAATAGATCTTAATATGATGAATCTAATAAACTAAATTTTATATTTTTGTAATTATTTTTTTTTAAAAGATATGATAATACTCATATTTATTATGAAAATTTAAATCCAGTAGATTAATACATGAAAATTCTGAAAATCAGGTACAAAAGTAGAAAAATAAATTAAATTACCTAAAACATCTTTGTAAGTTAAAAACTTATTAGCTTCAGACCAACTGGTCATCTTGTTATACTTCAGAGCTAATTATTAATAGAGTTTCCATTAATGCATAATAACTAGATTATTACTATGCTCCTCTTTTTTACCTAACAATAATTCTTATCCTAAATTTAAATTTAATATAAAAATAATTATCTTAAACTATTGTTAAACCAAAAAAGAAGCTAATAAAAAATTTGACTCCAACAAGTTCCTAGCTAAGTTGTCTGATTAATTCCTAATTATAATGACCTTTCAGCACAGAAGTACCTATATTACTAGGTTTTATTAGAGGTTCTTCAATACTCTCAAACTTCTATATTAAGATGTCTATTAATTCAAATTATAGCTATTACACAGATTTCAAAATCATACAGTTGTGAAAAACTAAAAAATCTTACTAAGATCAACAGATTCTATAACATCAGAAATCTAAAAAAGTGTGCTTATTTAAGAAAGTAATAAAAAAATCATCACGTGTAATTAGTTGATTTAAAGTTGTTATTAATCCTGATCATCATTTGGAATATCTCCTAATGTTCAATTTTGTGAATAAAAAGAAGAAGAAGAAAAAACAGAAAAACAGCTATGAGAAGTAGCAAAAAATTATTTTAACAAAAAAACACCACTATTTGGACTAACAAAATCTGTTTTTAGAATAAAAGGGTTTGAGGAAAATAAAATAAGAAAGAAGTTTGAAAAGGAGTTTTATTTTTTTTTGTAAGCTAAGCTATAGTCACCCTTAAACATACACATTTTTTGCGTAAAAATTCTTGGTTGAGTGATCGCCAGAAAGAGTTATTATATTTTTGTATATTTTTATTATTATTAAATAATAAATTATTTTTAAAAATTAAAAAATTGAAAAATTAATATATATTGATAATTATGAATTTTAAAA